GCCAATAAAGTGGCTTTTATTTGTAGCTGAAAAGTGACTTTCTGCCTGAGATTAGCTCCCCCCTTTGCGCTGATTATAGTGACTGCCGCGGGAGCTCTCATATAGCTTTTGCGGTTCAGAACCAGAAACCGTTCAATTCGTGAGCCAAATTCCAAATCGAAGGCCAAAAACCAAAGCCAAAGCCAAACCCAAAGTCCAATTCAATTGCTAAAGGAGCGGGAGTGCAGTCTCTGGTCCCGATTACCATTACTGAAAATTGAAGTAACATGTGTGGCGATGCGCAATTGCCAAAAGCCCCCGGCGGCCACTCACTTTGGGAGTCCCCCACCAATCCACCCATCTATTGTTTCGTTTTCTATTTCACAGACGAGTGGATGTTGCCTCGGCGACTTTCACTGGCACACAGCCTTCAGCCTTGAGTCGCGGAGTGGGTGTTGGGAGTATGGAGTGGGTGGTGGTGCTGCAGGAGTGGTGTTTTTGGGGGTGGCCCCAAATTTCAGCTTCCAATACGATGCCTCACGCACAGAGCTCTACACGTCTTTGTTTTGTCTTCCTTGCAATGGCAAATATTTGGTGCGCTCGTGCCGCGCCAGGAAAAAGTATCTAGCAAATGCACACAAAAAGTATCTAGCAGATGCATAGCCTTGAAGTCAAAGTTTTGAGAAGCAGAGAAACAAATTAGGAATAAGTAGAAGAAAGATAAAATGTATATCCCAAAGAATATAGTAAAGAAAGGCATCTTAACTTTCAACTTAGAAACATTTTATGTATTTTGAGTTACTTTCAAATCGATTTCCAATTTCTTTCTGTGTATAAACCGAAACTGTAAACTGTGCAAATAGTGCAAATAGCAGGGGTAGAGGGGTAGGACGGGTACCCAGTACATGTCTTGAGCGGAAACTGTGCCAAAAGACGTATGGCACAAAGCAGGATAAATTTGCCAAGTTTATCATAGCATACAGAGAGAGAGGGGGAGTGAGTGGAACTGGAACTGGGGGAACGTGGGCGTGGCAGGACTTGAATGTTGGCAAAACATGAGCCAAGGCATTGAGCATAAAATATTGTCGGCGATATTTTAACGCGCGCTCAAGCGAAATTGTCATATAAATAACACCCGGGGAAAAGGGGTGCTTCTTTTGCTCGCAAGCAAGGACTCCTCCCGGTTTAAGGATATTGGCTGGCGTTACTTTGAAATATTAAACATTTGGCAAACACGGGCAAAAGTTGAAGTTTATTGCCGACATTGATGGGGTTCTGCGAGTTTTGCGGCGGCAAACAGGGAAATTGGAGCAGCCGAAACCTGGAAGCCATTATGGGGACTCGATTCCGTCGATTCCGATGCTATTTTTAAGCGCCGCCAAACTTTTTTTCGCCCGCAACAGATATATATATCCATTTCCCATTTTCCCTTTTTTTCCCTGACTGCTTCCCCTTGCCATTAAATCAGAAACATGCATTTATTTAGCAATTTCCAGCAACTGCAACAGCAAAGTTGGTGGCAAATGATTCTTTTCTGCTTCTCTCTGTTTTTTTTTCTGCTGGCAAATTTTCAAAATGAAAAAATTGTATATATATTTTTAGAGAGAGAGAGAGAGGGGGAGAGAGTGTTAAAAGGGGGGTGGCTCTGTGAAGCGGAAGTCATAGTGGCAGGGCCAAAGCTAAAGCAAAAGCAAAACCAAATTCCGGGGGACCAAAAAACCGACAAAAGACGGAACAGAAAACGGCACCAGACAGATACAATAAAAAAGGGGGTTTTGTCCACCCGCCAAACCGCCTAACTGGCCCCATTCCCACATCCTTTTTTATGCTCCTTTTTCTATTTTGGGGCCATGGCCGAAAGGCAGCTCCTGTGACACACAATGAAAAAATACAATTTCCGAAAAGAAAACTAAGTGAAAATTAGTTTTAGAATTAAATTTTCAAACTAGAGAAGGGTAATTCTTTGCCAAGGTCTTGAATTCCCTATTTTATCTAACAAACAGACAAATAATTGTCTCTGCAATGCTTTAAAATTAAAGTTTCCTTCAAATATATAATTGCTTCTAAAAATACCTCATTAAATTGTTTAAATTTATTATATTTTCCCTCTGTGCAGAGTTCAACTCGCAGTCAAACATTTCCAACAATGGTTTAGAGAAGATATAGTCGTGGGTGCTTTCAGAGGGATGCAACTTGGACACGAACGGAACTAATAAATGAGTTCAGCAACAGCAGCAAACCAAATAAAAGTGTCCTAAAAAAAGGACAACAAAGGCTGCCTGAATAAAATCTCAGCGGTAGACCATAAAATATTAAGAGCATACTTTGCCAATGGGATGGGAATTTGACTATCTGTTCAGATACAAATGGGTAACAATTTAAATAGGTACCCTCTTTTAAAATAGAATTAAATTGTATTATTACTAATTAGAATATAAAGTGAAAGGTTTTCTATTTAAAATATTTAAACAAATGAAAAAAGAAAGCTAAATTCCGGAAGAAGTTTATATACTCTTGCATTTGGTTCAGAAACTCCAACTTGAATAGATCATAACTAAGCCAATAATGCATTAATTTCAATTCGGAAAGCTGTTCTGTGCTAGTTTTTATAGCACTAAAAAATTTGCATACTAAGTTTTACAATTTAAAAAATGCAATTTTTGGTCAAAATTTGAAAATTTTAATGATGTAACCCCTTATAAAATTTTCAAATTTTTGAAAAAATTAAATTTTGATCGGACATGGCTAGATCGATTTGGCTGTTGATGCTGATCAAGAATATATATGATTTATAGAGTCGGAAATGATTCGTTCACTGCATTTCATGCTTTGTAACACCCTGAAAGGATATAAACATAAATTTAAGCTTTAAGAAAATACGTAGTATTTAACCTTGCTCAATCTATATTTACTTATAGATAAAACAAAGCTCCTCATACTGACAAAGATCAATCTGCTTTTAAATATGTACATTTTGTGAATTAAAATTCGCTCCTGCATATTTCAGCTTCATATATGATGGTGTTAAATGGCCAGGCATAAAGATAATACAATAAACCATAAAAAAGGATCATAACCTACCATCTTAATGTGCTGTTAGGCCTCGAAAATTTTCCCTACACTTTCCTTAAGAGAAAATAATACCCTTAACCCAAAAACCCAACCGATGACTTTTGAACCTCTCGACGACAGGTCCTGGCTGCTGGCAGCTCATTGAAAACCAGGCCTGCGGTATCGCGTTGGCCATTTAACGGGATTTTAGCAATTTAAATATGATTTCCCAGAGCCCATGCTTCGTCCTTGGTCCTTGGTCCTTACTTCATCCTTTGCTCATATGCATTCCAAGCAGCTGTGGTGCAAACAGAACAACAAAAAAGAAAGGAAAAACTTCACAGTTTTTGTTTTTATTCGCCCGAAAAATGTTGTCGGTTGTTTGTTCTTCGAAGAGTCCCGGACTCTGCACTCCACAGGACTCGGGACTCAGGACTCGGGACTCGGGAGTCCTCTCTCAGTCTCAACAAGTTGCTTTATGGCATATGCATGATAATGATGAGGAGTCGGTTGGAAACGGAAACGGAAACCCTCTCCGCCACGAGTGCCATTTCTTTTTTGCGGCCTTGTTTCATATGATGGCCGCTCCCGGGTGTTTATGTGATATTTACATAATAAAAAGCGAGAGTTTCAGCGTGCGGCGGATGGGAGTTATATCCTTTTTTCCCTCTGACCCACATCTATGATTATTATCATAGCGCCTTTGGGGCCCAGCCACGCCCACGCTGCATAAAGTTGAAAAATATGAAAAAAAGGGGCGATGATACACACACAACATCGTCCTTTGTCTCTCGTCCCCAACAAATAACTCCTACCCCCCTTCTCCCCTCTTCTCTGTTAGCGGAGAACAACAAAGGAAAAAGAATTTCGCTTTTGTTTTATTTATTTTATGGCCCGTTTGGGGAGCCCAATGCCGATATCCTTTTTCTGGGGCCCATCCTTGAACTTCTCGCAGTTGCCGCGCTAAATTAAGTTTTGTTTTGCCAGTTGTCCCCAGACCCTGCCCCCCCATTCCCCCTCCTGTAGCTGATAAATGTCCCCAAAGCAAACAAAGTGCAAGTTGTTTTTTAAGTTTTTGGCCCCAACTATGCGGCATATCTTTGGCCTGACCAGGGAATTCGCTGGGGGGTGGCGGTGGCCCGGCCTTAAATGGGGTTTGGTTCTGGGGGAATTCCCACTCTTTGGGGACCTGCCAGTTGACCCAAAGGGTTGCCGGGGTTGGCCCCTTGTCTGACATGTGAGGAGGAATAGGTTTGGGCAGGCGGAGAAAGTGACTTTGAGGACCTTTCCTGGGGTTTGGGACTTCAAAGGGAGGGTTTTCTTCATTATTGTATTTAAAATTAAAGCTAGTTTAGAGAAAATTGGGATACAAAAACCCACCAAACCTTCTTAGGTAGCTTAAATAAAAAATATAATAGTAATTGTAATTTAAAAAGAAACATTTGCAATGAAAAAGTTTGAAATTTTCCGCTCTTTGAAATGCTCCCCGTCTAAGCTGCTGCTGTCAATCTCTATTCCCATTCGATCGATAATGGCTATCTGTGAGCCTTGCAATCCGCATCCGAATCCGGCTAACTGCCTGGCAACCATTAGGTTGGCAAACAGACTGTGTCTGTCGGGGGGAAAAACTGTTGAAGTGAAATTAAGGCAGCGACTTCCATCCGCTCCTGGCCGCTAATTCCGCTTCCTAATGTCCAGGCCGTGGCCATTTAAATTGTCTTCATTTGTTTACTAGCCGACAGACGGACGGACAGAGGGATAGTTGGAGGAGCAAAAGGGAGCACAACTCCAGGGTAATCCGCAAAACTACCGATTAACTCCCGACGGGGGCGATGGGTAGTTGCGATTGGGGATTGCAGCTGCCAAATCCAATGAAAATCCGAGAGTCGAATCGGAGCAATTTGGAACTCTAATGGAAAATCAATTTAAAGCGTTCTCCACTCTCTTTTTCCCCTTTTCTTTGCAGGCGAATGCCGGAGTCTGGACCTGAAACCCATTGGCAAACTTGGCCAGAACGTAGTTAACCGAAAAAGGGAGACCAGAAACACGAAACTAGCAAGAGAAGAGAGTGAATATAAAGGAGGCCAGAAGCAGCGGCCAATTACCATGTCGCTGGCCCATCATCTCGGCCTCTTCCTGGGCCTGTGCCTCATCCTCCTGGCCAGGCTGCAGATGGCCCGAGGACTGGCCAACTGCCCGACTGGCTGTGAATGTGACGACGACACCCTAATGGTGAACTGCGGCGAGGGCACCCTGGATGTCCTGCCCATCGCCCTGAATCCCGCCATCCAGCGGCTGGTCATTAAGAACAACAAGCTGAAGACCATCGACTCCTCGATGCAGTTCTATGCGCAGCTCACCTTCCTCGATCTGTCCTTCAATGACATGGTCTCCATCCCAGAGCGCTCCTTTGCCTACCATGCCAAGCTGCAGGAGCTGCATCTGGACCACAACAAGATTGGCCAGGTGTCGAATAGCACCTTCCAGGGCCTGAGCACCATAAGCGTGCTCAATTTGCGTGGCAATCTTATCGCCGAGCTGGAATACCGCACCTTTTCGCCGATGGTGAAGCTGGCGGAGCTGAATCTCGGCCAGAATCGAATTAGCCACATCGATCCGCATGCCCTTGATGGGCTGGTCAATCTGCGGGTGCTCTATTTGGATGATAATACCCTAACCACTGTGCCGAGTCAGCTTACCTTTCAGGCGCTGCCCTCGCTAGCGGAGCTTTACTTGGGGACCAACTCCTTCATGACCATTCCTGGCGGAGCCTTCGAGGACCTCAAGGGACTGACCCGCCTGGATCTGCGCGGCGCTGGGCTACACAACATCTCGGAGGCTGCACTCAAGGGTCTGGAGGCCTTGCGCTTTATGGATCTGTCGGATAATCGTCTAATGGCGATACCCACAGCCGCCTTTCAGACACTGGGACGTCTGGAGGAGCTGAGCATTGGACAAAATGACTTTGAGGTGATCTCCTCGGGCGCTTTTGCGGGTCTGCGGGAGCTGCGTCGCCTGGAACTCACAGGTGCCCAGCGTTTGAGGCGTGTGGAGAGCGGCGCTTTCACCGGCAACACCAATCTGGAGCACCTGAATCTGTCCAGCAATAAGCAGCTGAGCGAGCTGCCCGCCACTGCCCTGGGTGGACTGCCTCACCTCAGCACGGTGGTACTGAAGGCCAACCAGCTGAGCACCCTGGACGAGGGCCTGGTGCCCTGGGCTGATCTCCAGACGCTGGATCTGTCGGAGAATCCCTTCGTTTGCGACTGCCGGCTGCTGTGGCTGCGCCACCTCTTGCTTAGCCGGAATTCGAGTGGTCAGTACGCCCCAGTGATGTGCGCCTATCCCTCTGCCCTGCGGGATCTGCCCCTAGCCCAGCTGGCGGAGCCCCTGTTGGGCTGTGCCCATGGAGCGGCCAGTAAGCAGGCCATTATCGGTATCCTAGTGGTGGTCTGTGCCGCCCTCATCACAACCCTAGCCCTGCTCCTCTACACCTGTCGCCGTCGCATTCGTGAGATGCTGAAGGGACACTCGGCGCTGGGAAGGAAGGAGCGCGAGTATCAGAAGACCTTCTCCGATGAGGAGTACATGGCCAGGCCACCGCCCGGCTGTGGGGGAGTGCATCCGGCAGCCGGGGGCTATCCCTATATGGCGGGGCATGGCAGCAGCAGCGGCAGGCCGATTCCGGTCACCGAACTATAGCTAGAAGCACCACCCCCGCCTCAGCTGCGGGGCCGGGGTGGCGCCAGTACCGCCAGCGGGGCGGTGCAGCAGCTGCAGGTGCCCAGCGCGGTCGATCAGGCCTCCAACTCCTTTGCCCAACTCAGCCACATTCATTACATGACCAATAACGGGGCGCAGTCCTCGAAGATGCATCACTCGCAGCAGGACATGCGACTGCTGGCCTGCAACGGAGGCAAGTCCTTTAATGCCACCTCACTGCCCCGTCATCGACCGCCGCCGGCGCAGGTGCAGGTTCAGGTTCAGGAGAGCACTCTGTCCCACTACAGTCAACCGGTGGCCAATGGGATAAGGCTGACCCAGGATCACTTCAACCACAACCAGCATCCGACTGCTTCGAACCAGAGTCACCACTATGGCGGCGTTTATGCCAAGCCCTGTGATGCAATGGCCGAACCGGGTTACATCCACAACAATTCGCATTACTCCCTGCCGCTGGATCATGATCTGCCACCCAGTCCCACACCCACGCCACCGCCCCAGCCTTGCCGTTGAGGAATGGTGTGGGCATGGCACTCATTCATGGCAACACCACTGGACGTAGATCCTTTAATAACAACAATAATGTTGCAACCTTGTCGAACAACAACCATCATGGCGGTGTAGCAGTGGGAGTGGGTCTTGGAGTGGGCAACAACAACAACAACAATAATGGCAGCCTGAGACGATATCACTGATATCCGGCCAAGACGTGCGGCACCTTGGGCCGCACCATTATCAAGACCAGACCGGATCCGGATATCGAACTGCATTACTTCTACAAGGGCTGAGAGGGGGTATGGAAATTCCACGCGGATCGCCTCTAATCTTATTTAATCAGGGCTATATACATTAATCCCCGGACATTGTGGGGTTAAGAGTGCATCTTTGCCGCGAAGTCCAGACAAAAAGTCCTGGATATTCTTCAATTCTAGTTGTATCCTACGTTACGTGTATTCAGGCGAGAGAGCATTCTGTATAAATTTAGGCTTTAGTTTCGTGAGGTTGTAGAGGGGGTGGGGGTGGGCAAGGAATCCGCAGGATATGATGTATATAGATATATAAGTGGAGGACTTGCGCACAATTTTGGCAGGCAGACAGGCCGCCACAATTCATTTGCATCCAGTGATCTTAACTATTAAGTTCTGCTTAAATTAATTAATTAAAAACCCTTCAATTTATGTACATAATTAGAAGCTTTTTTTTTTAAACAAAAAATGCGACAACCGAAAATCAAGGAAATTTCAATGGAAAAAACAAAAAAATTAAATTAAAATCAAGTAACAAGGTAATTTACTTTATAAAATAACAACTTAGCCAAGCGCTTAAGCACCAGTCATTAAAACTATGTATGTATTTAGCCTAAAACTATCGACAAAATATATTCCAAAATAAATGCAAAAAAAGAAAATAAATTATATACGCAAAACCCAAATAGAACACAGCCGATTTTTATAGTTAATAGACTCAGTAAAGAATAAACTACTCATCGGAATAATAAACATGCAAGTTGTTTACACAGTGGAAAAAGGAAAATAGCGAAAAACTATGGAAAACTCTGCAATATTCAGGCAGCATCTACGCCGCATTCACAAATATGAATAAGCAATTTATGCAACGGAAATAAACAAATGCAAAATACAAAGTAAATCTATATATATACGAATTATATGTGTAAATAAATGAAAAATATAACTATGCTCGAAAACAAAACCTTACCGATTTTATATTTTTTTGTACTCTTCATTTTCCAGCCCTTAATTTTCCCCCTACCCCATTTTCCCAACGCCACGAGTCTGGCGAACCCTTTGATCGATTGTACATATTTAACAAATTTAATGGAACAAATTGCAAAACCAATACAAGGGAGTTGAAAGTAACCTACAAATAGAAGAAACATTGATTACCATATATACATACATACATGTAATTGAAAGCTTATTCAAACGCAAATTTCATATTCATATTTCATATATATGTACTTCATAACGAAGCAGATCGCCCATCTAGCTATACGACGACGACAAACACACACACACTATGAATAAACATAAAAATTAATATTAAATCAATTTCAAAATACAATTTAAGCAAATTACAAGGGAAAAAAGCGTAGTGAAACAAACACAAGCCAGATGGCACAAGAAATATACGAACGAGACATAGAATATAGCCGAGTCAAACCAAAATTTGTGGATCAGCATTAACTAACCGTATCATTAAGCGCATTAAGAAGTGCAACACGAAATACAAGGAACTCTCTCTTAATGTAATCGATAATCGCAGGTGCGGAGCAGAAAATTGACAAAAGAAAAAACAAAATTCAACAGTGTTCAAGAACTAGAAGATAAATCAAATAAAGAACAAATTTAACAATAAATAAAGAGTGTTGTTTTGTGATGAGTGGGTGGAACAATGAGTGAAAGGTATTTATATTCAGGTCTTATCTATTTTTGAATCAGCATTTTGCTGTTCGATATGAAACAGGTAGCGTGGCCGAGCGGTCTAAGGCGCTGGTTTAAGGCACCAGTCTCCTCGGAGGCGTGGGTTCGAATCCCACCGCTGCCAAGTTGGTTTCTTTTTATTTATTTTTCTAAATATATACATATTTTTCACAGCTTGTTCAGCAATCTGCCAACGATTTTTGGGGAAAACTAGTTTCGTTCAACTGTTTCTAGTCTGTGTCAAATGCAAATACCTAAAAACACTTTTCCATGCAAGTTTAGTTAATGCACACCAGCGCCAAACAGCCACAAACTCCAGAGTTGGAGCTGCTGCTGCTGCTGGCACTCATCTGCATAATTTAATTACATTTAACAATAACAAAAACACACCACACACACACACATACACTCAGGACGTGCAGCGTTTTGCGCTAATAAGCGACAGGGTCACCCTGGATCCCTTCAGCGACCCCTGCTCCCGCCCGCCATGCCAAGTTGTCAAGCGATGCGATGCGTTGCGTTGCTCTGAACAAAAATCTCAAGTGAGAAAGCTAATGCAGGTGGCTTCGTGACACGATGCTTGTTTTAGGTAAAAAATTATATATACTCTCTGAATTCTTACGAATAATAATAAATAAAATATTCCTTAATGCTTGCTCTAAAGTTTCTATTTAAATGAAGCCTAATATTCCCTGAATTTAATAAAGTATTCTTGAGATACAGTCTTAAGATCTAATTTTTCTCCGAAAAAAGATCTTTTTAAAAGATTTTAATACCATAATATATCATAAATTAAATATAATATATTTACTGGTATGAAATATTTTAAAATATATCATTTTTAGACCCCTAAATAATCTTTTTATGTGCAGATTCATAGCTCCTCTATAACATATCCTTGCACGATCTCATCACCACTTGTGCCAGCGGGAGAAACAGAGTTCTTTCTGGCATAAACAGTTACACATTTGCATGCAGCATTCTGCCCCCTTCCAGCTGCAGCTCCAACGCCGCCCCTGGGGTATGCCTTCAGCTCGGTTTGTTGTTGCTGCTGCTTGTGCATATGCGACATTAGCGCACGCAAACAACGTACACACAATTAGAAGAATTAACAGTAGTTAAAGCAGCAACAACACGCTCAACTTGTTGGCAAGATGTGCAGCGGTGTGCAAAGAGGGGGTGGCATAGAAAGGGGGAGGGGGCCTCAGACTTATCCCACTGCTGCCGAAGGCTGTTGTTGCTTCTGTTGCTGCTGCTGCTGCTGCTGCCGGTACTTGTAATTTAGTTTCGCAACGAGTTCCGCTGCATGTCCGCTGCTGCTGCTGCTGCTGCCGCCGCAACTTATTGGCCACAACATGCCAACTTATTAGGCAAAAGCGCAAAAGTTATAAATTGTTTTACAAGGCGCACATTGTTGCGGCCGTAAATATGTGGATACCACCGAGCCAAGGACAACAGGAAGCCAGCAAAGTTGCCAAAGGATGTGGCGGTTATCGCTTTAAAATTAAGGTGTAACCAGAAGTCAAAGGGATTTGTCAGCAATTACTTAATCGGAGAATAAAAAGAAGAGTCTGCTGGACAAAAGATAATGTAGTTATCACTAAGATTCGAACTATGACACTACATTGCTGTTTTGTTTGATTAAAGGTTTCAAAGTACAAAAAAGGAACACTTTTCTAAATTGTTTATTAAGTATGCATAGTAAATACCCATTATTTTCCCTTTCTATTACACTGTAGTGTCATAAACTACAAGTATAATTAAAATATTTGCATACCTTTGATACCCTGCAAATGGTAAATGACACTACATTGTTTCTGCATTTATTAAAACCATGGTCATTCCTGCTCTTTTCTTTTATCCTTTGCATAAAGCAACAATGTATTATGACAATACTCTAAAACATTATTCCAAAGGGAAACACAAAGTTATAGTAACTAGATCAAGATACAAAGACTAAAAATAAAGGTAAAACCATACTGATACTTAGATTTTTCCTAAAAGTATACACAATTCAAAAGATATTCCATATAATTCCTAAGAAAAGAACTTGACATCTTGTGTTATTGTCCCCTTCCCCCATTCAAATGTTATAAACATTGTTGCAACATTTAATTAAAACATCTCGCTTCGCCCCACCACAGCAAATGCACTCGGGTGAGAAAAATTACAAAATATTTTTAATTGCCAGTCTGTAAATTTATGCCACCGAAATTGTTTTCAAAAACAAAAGGAGCCAGACCCTCCTACCATTTTCTTGTAGTTTTTTTTTGGGATGGGAGGGAACCTTCGCCCCAAAAGAACACTTTGTCTGCTGTGCTAATTTATATGTTAATTTTTTTCATATTTCCATGCACAGCGAGTGAATATTATTTTTGTGCTATTTCATATTTCGTTGATGCGGTCGCTTTATTTTGAATACAAAAACAGGAAAGGATGCCGAAAAGCCCCGCTGAAAAACAACGGCACAGGCAACATAATGCCATCGTCTATTCAAAAAGGCGTTTTGGTTTGGTTTGGCTTTTCCATTTTCTCGGTTTTATTTTCCATGAAATTTTCGCTGAACTCGCACAATAACAAGTCGGCGAGGGGATTGGGGTTGGGGTTGGGGTTGGTCAGGGGGACAGGGGGACAGGGCAAAAGGCTCATAGGCAGCTTTTTAATTTTCAGCATGAATTAGAATAATAGTCAACGGATATTACACAATGGCCGACCGACCAGAGGGGGGCGGGGGCGGTAGGGAGGCTTTGGGGATTTCCGGTCAGCAAGGGTTCGGTTTTTTGGCCTTGGGGCTTAGGGCTGCTGCCGGCCATTAAGGGAATAGTTGATGGAGGAATCTTTAATGCGAAACTAACTAACTAAGCTGGCAGTCCTCAGGGATTAGCCCAAAAATAATAATTAATTACAATTTCCTAAGCTGGAAATTGGAAATGCCTGCCGTTAATCATTAATTTTAACCTACGAAATATACACAGCACTTAACATCTCTCTCGCTCTCCCTCTCTCTTTGAATGCCTCCGATTTCTTTATTTCCGCTGTGACAAATATAAATTCACAAAAAATTCAACCATTTCTTGGAAACAAGCAAACAAAACAAAAACAGCAAAAACAAGGACCCCAAAAAGTGCTGACACCTTTGAAAAATTTTCACGCTAATAAAACACAAAACATGCCAGAGCAATGTGAAGAGCGTGAAAAGCGCGGAGGAGACAGCAGCTCCCGCGACGGATGGCGATAAAGTCAGAGGAGGTCCAAGAGAGGAGGGCTCCGCTTTCCCACCCCTCTCCACCGAGAAAAAAGGAGGAGTTGGTCCGGAAAACCCAACAAAAGGAGCAGCAGCCCCAAGCAACCGCAAGCTGGGAGAAAGGCGAGAAAATGCGGGAAAACCCAGAGAGAGGGGCCCCTGTTTTGTATTTGTCCCAAAAAAAAAAGAAAAATATACGAAAAAGAAGCGAGGGAAATTTGTTTTAATGCCGCGCGCTCTTTTTACGCTTTTCTTTATAACTTCTTTTCAGCTTTTTTGTCATGTTACAATTCTGCAGCGACAGCAGTAAAAAATAATAATACCCCGCCCCGCGGCAACCGCAACTTGTGCAACATCATAAACCCATTTGCGTTTTTAATTAGTAACATCGCAACTTGGCCCAGTGAAGGGCTGAGGGCGAAAAGTAAATGACCATGCACAAAATGTTGCACCGAGGCAACAACTGAAACAGATAAGTCCTGGACTCCAGCTCCTGTCCCAACTCCACTCCACTCCACTCCAGCGACTCTCTACCGAAAAAAACAGAAAAACTGGAGCAAATAAGGTAAAAATTTTTAATTGCCGCAGAGGCGAAAAATTATTAAGTTGCGGTTTTGCCAGCGTTTCGAGTAGTCAGCGGTCCCAGCTAGCCGGGGAGCTGCCCGGTGGCCACCGCTGCTACCAGTTCATCCTCATCGCCGTCATAAAGAGAGTCCGGGAAACAAAGTTGAAAAAGCGCAGCTCAAGTGGCGCAGCCTTTCCCGCCGTCCAGGAATGGTTTCGGTTTCGGACCCGCTGATGGTCTCCGGTCCTTCAGTTTTCCCCTTATATATATACAGATATATATTTTTTTTTTGTTTTTAGTTAACTGAAATGTGGGGCAATGACCGGAGGGGTCACTGCGACTGACCAGCAAAGAGGAAGGTGCCAGCAAGTGTCCTTCAAGTGGAAGGGATAATCCCCAGGAAAAGGCAATGC